ATTTATGCGGGTGGAATATAGCGGTGATTATACCGTCAGACGTGACATCTCCCTCCTTAGGGAAGTTCGGTCCCCGAACTTTTATTAGTAAGTATAATTTTATGGTTATGTCGTATAGAGTATGATTATATTTATAGATAATTAATTATTTATGGGATTTTTATTACAGGATTCTAAAATGTGCTTGGCAGTGTAAGAGCTGTGTTGCTGCAGTTGGATTTATGTAAATCGAGGTAATAGTTCCATTGACAAAATATTTGTTTAGTAATGTGCTTAAGTAGTTCTATAGATTTGATTAGTAATATATTTTTTCTTCTTCTCTTCTCTCTCTTTTTTTTTTATTTATTTTATTGGGTATATACACATGTATATTTGTACTTGCATACATATATAGACGCGCATATTTGTTTTCAATGTTCATTCCTTATGTTACTTATTAGGATATTTATTAATATAGGTTATTCTTATTTTATTATAGGGTTGGTTATCTATACTGTCACCGTGATTTCGTTGGATGGATATGATAAGGATAAATTAAAAGTAAGTTAAAGCTATATTTCTATCGTTACTACATTTATTCATATAAGTTTTAGTCTCTCCTCTTTTTATTTATTTTTATTATTTTTGTTTAAATATATTCAAGTATTTGCCGCGTATTTTTTCCTTAGCTTCGTCTAAATCCAGGCGATAAGCAAGATTACGTAGTCTTTTTACTTCTAGCATAAGGCTTGTCGTTGACATTTTGCTTAGCTCTGTAAGGATAATTATTTATTGATTATATATAACGGTTTTATCTTATAAGAGTGCAGTAATTAATATATTTCATTATTGTTATAGGTGATAGGAGGTAATAGTGAGCTGAGAATGAATTAATAAGGATAAAGGATAAGTATTTCAATCTTATTTTATATTCTTATGAATATATATATATATATGAATGAGAATATTAATGTATTTTCTTTCATTTTATTTCAGGCAAGGAATAGGTACGAAATTATCCTGGATGGGCTTGTTTTACGAGTGTGAATATGAATACGTTATAATAGTAATCTTACAATTATAACGTATTCATATTCACACTCGTAAAAC